CCTGTAACAATAAAATCATAACGACACTCACTCTGCACACTGGTATCGATGCTCATGATGTGTGTTGGCGTCAGCTCTAATGATGTCGGGATGCTTTTGTTATTTGCTTCTAATATCAGAAGCTTAAGGGAGTCCTCTGCTGGTGTGGCACCGACCAGCTGTATCAGATCAGTAGCCCATTAATTTTCCATTTATCTCTTTTTTTTTTAAACAAAGAACTTAAAGTTTTGAATCAAAACAATTGGATCATTTCACATTTGAAGATAACTTTTGTAAATCAAGTTCATAAATACATAGTTATGTAATAAGCACTCCGTGTCAAGTTTAGTTTACAACCGGAGACAATATTAATAGTCGAGAGTATAAGTATGTATTCCAAACAAAGCATTCCAAACAAAAACTGTATTTTTAAATCACTTTATTTAAAGATTAAAATGAAGAATATTTGAAAAATGATTCATTATAGCCATTCTGAATTGGAAATATAACCATCTAAAGCTGCTTAGCAGCTTTCGCCACCAGTTTTAAGCAGCGCAGTCGGCAAACCATCGGCATTTGTAGTTTTGTTATTTTTAAGCCTCAATATAGATGTTCTAATTTCATTATGATCAGGAGATGCGGCGATTATTTCATCGTCATCGATTGAGAATTCGAGTAGATTCAAGAAGTGATCCCTCCAAATATTAAGCATGCTTTGCTGAACTCGACCAGTTCAAAATTTTGAGCCTACGCTCGTTCATAAAATTATATATGGACTAATAAACTAACGTGTAATTTGTAAAAATTACGGAAGACAGGTATTTAGCAGTTAGTATTACTAATTGATGGCATCGAACATTTCCTGTGAATAACACTGTGTCCATTAATAGACTAGTGTGTCCTGCTCAATCCATAATTACTGAGGGATTCCTTTCACTTTTACTGTATTCAGAAAAATATTAATCGTTTCAACATAGATATTTGACCACTCTGAACCTTTGATCAATGTTTATGGAATATTCTTCTTCTATATTATGTTTGACCAGATCATGATCCCAGAATATGTGGGTATGTTTCTGTATCTTTCATAAATAGTCTGCATTCATCGGCTTTTAACCTTTTTTATGCTTATTTAGAAGGCAGTAACTAGTTATCTCTTTAATCATTGTTTTTAAATCTGATTTGTTAAGATTTAAAAAACATTTGTTCTTATTCTCTTAGTAGTTTGGAAACCGTAAGCCTTCCTAGTTAAAAATCCCGAAGCAAATGTATCCATATTGGCGAATATTCGGTTCTCTAAATTGAAGATTCCCGAGCCCGTTTCTTGTTCAGTTTTGAAGTCATCTGCATATCACACAATTCTGCCAGTAGTGGTTCTAACTCTGTTAGTTTCCTAATTTCCTGTCAAATTGTTGATCATATGTTTTTAGTTGATATAATCTAAAGGCATCTCATAGTCGCCAGTTTCTTTTACTTTGGGTAAGAAAAATTTAATTCTAATAATTTGTTTTAATATGAATATTAAGTCCATTGCTGTACAATAATTTTTTCACCTGTAGACCGCTATGATAAAATTTATATATGCTAATGGATGCTGCAATCAGTAGCGAGGCGTCAGCTTTTTGGCAAGGTGTTCACAATTTGATCAAAACAGAATTCCAACTATAACGTATTTCCCCTACTTCTAAGTTTTGTCCTTTCCACAAGCAAATAGCGTACAAGACCAATAAAACAATTTATTTAAATGTTCGCAGCCTGTGATCCACTGGTTTTTATTTACCATAAAGCTGTAACTGTAGGAAAACGACGACTTACCATAGATTTCGACATTTTTACAACAGGTATCAAATTCTTCATATCTGGAGTTGGTTTATTCGTTTTATGAATTAAAATCTTTTTTTCAGAAGATCGTTTAAAAAAAGACATTAAATCAAATCTTTAATCACACATTTATCCATTTCTAAATATTATTTTTCACTTCAAATTTCTTTAATCTCTTTCTTTACTTTTACCATTTGCTAGTATAAAATTGCAATAATGACTTTGTTTTGATTTATTTCCAACCTCTATATAAGAGTAAGAAACTCTCATGCATTCATTTACTCTTTTACTTTGTATTTACAATGCCCGGTTCAGTTTTTATACTGAACCATTTCCCCATATAAAACAGCAACCGTGACTTTGATTGTATTTGCACGCTTTGTATAAACTTTTGGTTCAGTTTAGTGGAATGATCCTCTCGTCAAATGTAAAGCGATTTTCGCTCAGTCATTTCTTTTCTCTTTTGTATTTACTTTGCATAACATTGGAAGTGCACTTTTGTTATTAAACTGCTTGCACGCATTAATTTAAGAGTTAAGATTATTTTACGTACATATATTTGTTTGTATATTTAGTGTTGTGTATTCAATATTGAACATAGTCCTAATGTGAATGTTATTTCATTTGCATGCTTTGTAAGCAACGCGGTGCAGTTTTTATTCTGCACCTTAGTATATTTCAAGAGGAATGTGTTTTCTCTTTTATTAATTATAAGCAATGTTGGATGTATCTAACATATGTATGTGTGATTTTGTTTGTTTGTACGTTTTGTTTTTATGTTAATCTGTTTGGAAAAGCTATTATAAAAAATGTTAAGTAGCAATATAGCGAGATTATTTACCTAATAAAAAAAAATCTGAAAAGGAAGCTTTGTTAAGGTGTTCAGTGAACACTCTGAACCATTCGACGCCTCGCCTCTGGCTGCAATATACCTATAAGATATTCAGTGGCGTTGTTGAGGTTGTTCTTAAGCATACAGTTTTGTATATATTTGATAATCTCTCTTACTTTTCAAGTTTTTTTAAGTTTCTAAAGTTTTCGACCAACATACTATTGCCGGTAGACAATTGTCTCTCTCAGCGACCGAATTCTACAGTCGTTTTTAATGTGTTTATTTATTAAATGAAAAAAAGATATTAAAATTAAATAAATGCAAAATGCAAGAGAATTATTTCACATTTTTGAGATTAATATTTCCCTTCAATCAATGGTATTTTCTATTTTGTGGTAGATATTGATTCATATTTTTATTGTATGGCACGTATGATATATAATATAATTTCCAAAAACAATAATGTATTTTATATAGTAATTCAAGTATAAATATATTGCAAAGAATTGAAAAATTGATCGTTTGTTCACTTTCTACTGTATATTGTAAAAGTTTTTTCATTGACGATGTTATGAATAAGAAAAATGTGATGTAACAGAAACGGATATTCAAGCAATTAAATTACTTGAATTTATGCAAGTAATCATATAAATTTCACATTTTTTTACATATACATACACACATTTTCTTTTATTCATACATATTTCTTTTATATTTAATTTTTTTATATTTTTTTCCCTTCCTTTTGTAAGTTTCTAACTAAAACTGGAGTACAAAGTCTAAAAATTCCACTCCGCTGAGGTTAGCCCCGACGAAGGAGAGGCTTCCCTTCCCCACCCAACCAGCGTAAACGCCACCGCACCGTCGCTCCAAAAAAGCCGACCAAAACTCGGCTAAGGAACGCATTAGGCTGGATGAAGCTAAAGTTGCTGAACTAGCCAAAAATAACAAAGACCTGAGGGCAGACAGCTCCACGCCCTCATTGCTGAGTTGTCTTCGGTACAGGGAATACTCATTTCCTAACCACACACCCTAACTGCGGCTTCGCTTCCCACCTGCAGTCTTTAACTGCTCCATTAACGCACCCAAACATCCCCTGGCTAGTGGAATGAAAGTTTTGAGGTGGACGAGGAATTGAGACCTAAATGGGACTTGGTTATGATGCGATGTGCTAACGTCAAAGAGCTTGGCGCCACCTTTAAGTCCGCCCTCCTTGCCAAAATAAAGGATTCTTTTTATAGCATTTATACTCTCCTTAAACTAGCTAGTTTCAGTGACTCTCCGCAAGTTGACTAAATTCCACCCCTTTTACCAAAACACCACATTCCATTAAAATTGTCCGTGTTTTCTGGCTTGATAAAAATAGGTTGCTAAATATTAAGTCTATCTGGTTTCTTTCCGCCCTTGATTACTGGAATGAGGTTGTATCCGCTGCATGTGGTTGCAATCTTCCATATTTATTCCCAAGAGGTTATTCCTAAAATTTATATATACATCTTAACATGAATATAAGCAAAGGGCGAAGGACCTAGCTGTCCAGTTGTTTATTTTAAGTTTAGTTTAAAATAATCTTAATGTTAACTCACAAATAAGTAAATACTTACTCTTAGTATTCATTGGTATTTTTTTGCTCTTACATTTGCTTACACTTACATAATGCAGCATTATTTCTGTTTTCAGAGTAATTTTTATAGTTACATTGGATATCACTCGCAATATCAAGACTGCTTAATTGTTTTTGATATGTAAATCGAAAGGCTAATCGATTCTGAGATTTCTTTTTTTCGGTTTATTTTTCGTTTCACTGTTATTACGATTTATAATAATGATATCTACTTTTTTATTTTCTGAGCATCTTCCTCCCGCATCTAAGCAAGGTGAAATTTTAAATTTTTTATTCTACGATTATTTGTTTGTTGATTTTTAAAATTTCACAATATAACACAAATAATACATTCATTATTTAATTTTAAGAGGCATTGTTTTATTTAATGTTTTAAATCACTATAATCCACCTTAGTCATTGATAATTTAACATCGGATACGTACACTTTCCAGCAGTTAAGAGCAGTGTCGCGACGAGATACGATGGGTTGATGTATTCATAAATTTAACAGGGAACTTTTTTTTATAACATTACTTATTAACCACAACCACTCAATGGGCTTGATCAGTTCTTCATCGTTTTCTGCGGTTAATTGCAGAACAACTGAGCGTTGTCACTCATGCCAATTTTCATATCCACAAATTTGCTGATGGCTAACAGCAGCAACTATAACAGTCGTGCCAAGGCCCTTTGATATTTCAAAGTTAAGATAAGGTAAATAATAATAATCCTATTAATTTATATAAAATAAAAACAAATATATATTCTATTATCTTCAAGAAAAAAATTGTCCTATATCATGAAGTTTTATTTATGTATTGATTTATATCCTATGTGTTATAACAATGTAACGAAATTGGATTGAAGCTATAATATTGAACTATGATCTATAATTATGTTTTAAAATACAAATTTTAAAATTTTAATTATTAATCATTTAAAAGCAAATATTATATAATTTTTTATTAAAAAAAATTAACTACCGGAAAGTATTTTCCAAGTCGACGGATTTTTTTAATTGTGAAAAAACATTTTGATCCTGTAGATTGTATTGCTCTTACTAAGCTGTTATCTTCAAGAATTATATCAATCTCCTCCATTGATTTGAAACTATTTGAATTGCAAATAGGTTTGGTGCGTTTTAAGTGAATAGCTGTTTCAACGACATTTATATTATATTTTAAGTAGCTACATTCTTTTAAGATAACCTGAGATTCTTCTTCATATTCTTCCTTCGTTTCAGCTACAGACATCGAATTTAAGTTGAATAAAGAATTTCTTCTGTCGACTTGCGTTTCAGTAGCCAGATGCCGATGGCGCATTTCAAATTCTTGAGCTTCAGTAATTCGATCAAGTGAATGACTTTCACGGATTCTTCGCCTTCTTAAAAATGAATTTGAAAAAGAATGTTGCTTTGCATCTTTCTGTTTTTGATTTTTTTGCGTATTTGTGGATTTGCGTGTTTCTTCCGATTTATTCTAAATACAAAAAACTAATTTATTAAAAACTAATTTATATTGAAAAAAAATTTTTACAAAACTAAAGTTTTTCACATGCAAGTAATCTTGGTATCGATATTTGATAAAATTTATTTCTAATTATAAATATTTTCTGAATTTGTAAACCATCGCACTATGAAAAATTTGATCAAAATATAGTGGTTAAAAACCCAATTTAACTTCATGTTGTTGTTATTTGATGAACAATATATTACAGCTTATAAAAGTGTGTTTTTTTTCTAAATAAAAATAAATAATTTAGAATTAATATTTGTAATCGTCAACTAAGTGAAATGTTTCATAGGATGTACCTAATACTCCTACAAATATTTCTAATAATACTCTTTTGTCTAGTTGGTCTCCCACAAAGGCCTGAACGGAATAGTTTAAAGGAGGACTGTAACTGAAGTTTCAACACAACATTGCAAAGAGTTATTAGTTAATGCTGCAGCAATTTCGGGGCGTAATCAAGATCCAACCGATTTATCCATTGCTGTGAATGAAAATATTTTAAGTTGAACTAACCTTCCGAGTTAAGAAGAAGGCTGTGCTTTGAAGACTCAAAACAACCAGTGAAGTTAACAGGAAATAAAACTTTTGCTTTTCTTTTGGAGTATGTCTTCTCAAGGATATAAACATCATATTCGAAGACTTTAACTCAAAAGTTGGTAATAAAGAACCATATGAGTTAAGTTTGAAGTGTAGTAAGCAAAATATTAGATTAAATCAGTTATACCAAAAATAAAAATAAAATAAAATAATAGTATACAGCACATTAACAAAAGATTTAATAAAACTAAAATATTTAAAAGACATATGCTGTAGCGCAGGCTCCGTTGAAGTGTTTGTAGCAACATTGAGAACTAAGCTAAGCTAATTTCATATAAATTAAAAATTCTTTGGAAATCCTATTGAGCGATATTCCTATTGATGGAACAAAACAACCAAAATTACAAGAAATTACTTTAACTGAAGTAGGTACCACCACCCAGACATGAAGGGATAAATGGGTAAATAATAAAAAATTATTAAATAATGGATGGAATAACACATCGAAATCCAGTTGACTATAAAAGACAATAAAATGAAATGTACAAAAATATAGAAAATTCAGAAATGAACAATTAAGGAAATAAAACGAAGAGGTTGAAGGATAAGAATGAATTCTCAACAATTTTAATTTCACTGAGGAGGTGAAGAAAGAAAGATTAGCCTTTAAAAAGTTATTTTTGTTCAACAGAAAACGAAAGCTGTGATATTCTTTTTTTATTTTATATAAAAAAGACGGTACTGGAATTCGTCGTAGTTAAATAGAAAAATGAAATGGGAATCGTTAAAACATCGAAAATTATACCAAACTTACATCAATAATTACATTAATAATTTAGCCGTCAAAGTACTAATAAAATTAATTCAATCTGGATGTCAGACTTGAATTGTTAGTATACACAACAATCCATAACAAATCCAGGAATCACAATATCAGTATTTCGAATACATATGTTCTAGTAACAAAGAGGAAGTAATGAAAAAAGCAGTTAATTGCACTTTATGTCAACTGAGACAAAATAATCTACACTTTGGGAAAAGCTCTTTTATTGATAGGGAAAACATTTCCGGCTATTTAACTAACGTGTAAAAAATTATCAGAAATTTTCAATAGATATTTACAAATAGATTTTGAATTTTAAAAATAAAAGAAATTTATTACACACAATTGTTCTGAAATGCAATATATAATTCAAGATGTTCTAAATAGAATCTTCTTAAATATCTTAGAAAATTTTAACAATTATGATTTGCAATTAAGGAATCTTTTTAGCCTTGAAAGATGAGAAATAAAAATGAGATAATAAAGATGAGATAAAATTAATTAAATTTATAATATTTAATTAAAACTCTCTGGTCAAATATCTATCTATTAAATAACCGAAAAAATTGCTAATGAATTTATTTTGAAGCGTGTTGGAGAAAATACTATCAGATGATTGTATAGCAGCCATTTAGATAAATACAAAATCATTTGACAAATATAATGGAATCAACAATCAATGAACTTGCAGTTGTCATAAATGTCATTTTGCATAATATGATTGGCAGGAATGAGTTTATAGCGAAGAAACTAACACAGGATTTTATTTTCTATATATAAATTAAATCGTTATATAAATTTTTCAGTTTGGAGACCCGTAGCAAATAAGATACTTTCTACAATTTGGATATAATTAATACTACCTCTTTTGCATGTGTTTTATTGCTCGATTTGTCCGGATTAGCAGATTGATTGTGTGAGCCAGAAGAAGAAAAAGTTTGATCTTGCGAATCACTTGAATCATCGTGAGAGTCCCTTCTATGCATTTTCAATCTTGTTGGAGTATCACCAACAAATTTATGCATTTTCTTCTTACTTCGAGCTTTGGTATCGTCATCTGAAGCCTCAGAACTACTACATGAAGGAGTTCTAATTTTATTAAGTTTAGCACGACGTTGCGTCAAAACAGGATTTTTAGTATTCGCAGTTATTGGTTTTATTTTAGATATATCTAAATCTTGAAATCCTTTTAATGCATCATGCACTGTTATTTGTGATGCATCAGCACTTGTCAATGATTTTTTTTGTGTCGCAAAATGTTGGGTATTAGAATCAATATTATGCTTGTTAATTTTATTAAATTTTTGGGCCGTTAAGCCTTCAGGTGCAGCAATTTTAGGGCATGATTTCAGTGGTGCTACGATGGTTGCATGCTGAGTTGATATTTCGTGAACTGATTGATTCAAACGGCCATCTGATATTGATTCTTTGCGAACATTAGCAATTTTAAGAACATTTGTTTCACCTTGTTCTAGCATGGGTTCCTCTTCATCTTCTTCTCGAACAATACTACATTTTCGACTTCTTTTGTCCTATAAAAATAAAAACATTATACAAATAATTACTTTAAAAGAATTGTAATAATAAAAAATGATAATACCGTATTATTTTCGTTTGAATACTGTTCAGTACTGCACACTTTAATACTAATAGGAACCAAAACATTGTTGTCCGGTGCTTTCATCTTTTTATCTTGCTTTCTTCCCAAATTGTTGCAGTTGTGCCTGATAATGAGGATTTTATATCAATTAATTCAAAGTACCAATAAATAAAAATTTAAGTAGACACAATTTATACGATGAGATAGAGGTGTGCCTATTTTCGAGACTTGCAAATATTGAGAAATATTATAATAAATATACCATACACAATAAGCGTATAAATGTCACATTTGAATTTATATTTTACATATATGCAAACGCAACATAATGTTTTATGTATCTAATCTAAACGGAACTAGTTTTTGTAATGAAAAGTATAGATAACGATTTCTAGCATTTATATATATGAAATATATTTTAATATATAACCGTACTTCAGTGCTCCATTATTGCTCAAAAAAGTATCAAGATTAGTTTTCAAGTTAAGTTCTTCACGTTGCCTTCGTAGTCTTATTTCAGCCAATAAAAAATATGTTGCTGTTATATGGTTGTAAAGATTTTTATCTAGTGATCTTTCAATAAAAAAAAAAAACAAATTATTTTGGCTAAAAACTCGAGTCAGTTAACTTACTGCATAATATCTTCTTTGGACGCAATATTGCCACCAATCATTTTTTGTAAAATAAATGCATGATCCTCTTCGCTAATTTCTTGACGACTTATCAATGGTAAATATTCAGAAGCATCGCAGTGTAAGTCATCTTTTAACCAAGAATCAGCCGCGATTTCTTCCAGGCTTGCACGCTTTTTGGGATCTCGAACTAACATAGATGCAATTAAATTGCGACAACTTGGAGTTACTTGAGGCGGCACTGTATATTTACAGTCCATTATCATTGTAAGAGTTTCTGAATCGTTTGCCTTTTCAAAAGGGGGTTGTCCACAAACGAGCATATATAAAATAACTCCCAAAGACCATATATCTGGAACATATGATATGAATCGATCATGTTAAAACACTTCAATACTTACCAACTGCAGGTGCGTCATAAGAATCTCCAAGTAATATTTCTGGTGCAGAGTAAGCTAAACTTCCGCAAAAAGTTTCAAGCTTCTGTCCAGGTGAAAACTTATTGCTAAACCCAAAATCTGTAAGTTTCACTACTCCAAGTTTCTCAAAGAACACTACATTTTCTGGTTTTAAATCCCTGTTAGGTTTTAAATTTTTTTCATTAAAATTAATTATACATTAATTAAAACACCTGAATATTTAAAATATTTAAAAAGATCTTGCAAATATTATATCTTTAATTTACATAGAATTTTAAAAATTTGAAATTAAAAAATTTTTAACTATGCATAAAAAACGAATAATCCTTAGTTAAATATACATTACTTTAGATTTTATAGTAATGATTACACACACTAATCATTAATAATTCACATTTATGCAAAAATAAACCAATATCATGTATTAATGTTAAAAGAAAAATAATATTAATTTTAAAATTTTATTAACATGCCTGTGAACTACATGCAATTGATGGCAATATGTAATTGCCCGTAAAATTTGTCGAAAGTACTTCTTAGCGAGATCCTCGCTAAGACCACGTTCATGTCTCATAATGTAGTCGTATAAATCACCACCGTCACCAAGTTCTAAAATCAAATACAACTTTGTTTGAGTATCGATTACTTCATATAGTCGCACTACATTTGGATGCTGCACTAGTTTCATACATCTGTAAATTGATTTTCGATGTATATTGCCATAGAACCTGCACAAATGAACTCACCTAACTTCTTGAAATAAATGGGATTTTGAAACTTCATCTAGCTTGGTTTTATCAACCACCTTTACCGCTACCTTAGCACCAGTGAAAACATGTCGGGCTAGTTTAACCACTGCGAAATGCCCGGAGCCCAGTGTTTCTAAAAGATCGTATAATCCAGCTATTTTACCACCATACTGGTTATTGCTTGCAATTGTATGTGATATAGAAGCTGCGGCTTCCATTTTTGCGCCGCGTACGTTAACACAAAAAACGTACTATGGAATATTAACACAAAATATTTAAGAATATACGTTATGTCGTATAATCTATTAATTAATCAAAGCTAACATGGAATATAAACCAATTATTTACAAATAAATATCTTATAATATTTTATCAGTAAAATCTAAGTTATAATAAGAACTTTATATTCAATTAATACACAATATTAATTCAACAATTATAAAATATCGCCACAGAATATTGCTATGAGAATACATAGCATTTTACTGAAAAACTGTATTCTTTTTTCTCGCTTCTCTTTGATTGCATATAAACTATGACAGATTGCTACTAAACCAAGGAATATTAAAAATAGACATCAAGTTCATAAACATGGAATTTACAGCTGCAATAGATCGGAAGCTTATTATAGCCATAATGTACGCATATGCTTATTAAGCTATATTGATATATATTTCTGTAAATATATACATGTTCACCTACTGAAACATTAACCCATTTCGTAACTCCGTGTGGCTAACTATGAAAATTATTTAAAAATATATAAAAGTAATTAATTCAATGTTTTTTATTTTTGTTAATTAGTTTAATATCTTAATAATATAAAAACACAGATTTCGAATAGTTTTCATCTGTTCATGAGTTTACCTGTACAGTTATGTTTACAAAAACATAACTGTACATCTGTATGATTGCTCTTAAAATTATGGAATGGAACGCAAATGGTTTGCTTCAACACAACAACGAATTAGAATTACTTCTGCAAACAGAAAATATAGACATATGCCTAATAAGCGAAACTCATTTTACAAAAGAATCGTATATCAATTTTAAAAACTATAATATTTATCATACTATTCATCCAAGCAATAATGCTAGAGGCGGAAGTGCCGTTATAATTAAATCCAACATTAAGCATTATCAAGATAATAAACTCTCTAATGAAGAGTTCCAGGCAACAACCGTTGCAGTCGAAGAGAGTGGTTCCAAAATACAAATAACGTCCATCTATAGTCCACCAAGACATAACGTAAAATATGAACAATACATAGATCTATTAAAATTACACAAACATAAAGCAATAATTGATGGTGATTTTAACGCAAAAAATGTTCAATGGGGGTCAAGACTAAATACCACAAAGGGTAAGGAATTACTTAAAGCATGTCAGGCCACAGGTTTTGAAGTTCTCTCCACTGGCTCTCCAACATACTGGCCAACTGATAGAAATAAATTACCAGATGTCATTGATTTCTTTATTGTAAATAAAATTCAAAAAAGAGACATTGAAGTTAAAACAGGACTTGACTTAAATTCTGACCATTCTCCAATATTGCTTACTTATGGATGTAATATTCTATCTACGCTACCTAAACCGACACTAACAAACCGTCTAACAGACTGGAATTATTTTAAGGCCCAGATAAATGAAAATATTGACCTATCCTGCAAAATATGAAGTATAATTGACCTAGTGAGTGAAACGCATTGCTTTACAAGCTTGATTCAAAAATCGGCATGGCGCAGTTCTCCACTGCAGAATAGTAAGCAATTTGATAAAAACTATCCGGTCGAAATTTTAAATCTAGTCTATAATAAAAGAAAACTACGTAAAAAATGGCAACAATCACGATTAATACAAGATAAAAGAAACCTTAATAATGCCACTCAAAAATTAAGAAGAGAAATCAGTAATTTTAAAAATGAAAATGTTAAGAAATATCTTACAAACTTGACATATGATAGCAAAACTAACTATTCTCTCTGGAAAGCTATGAAAAAATATAAAAGACCGATCACTCATAATCCTCAATTAAAAAAAGATAATAATGAATGGGCGAAAAGCAATATTGAAAAGGCACAAGTTTTGGCTGAATACTTAAGTAATACCTTCAATCAAGAAGAAACCCATCATATAGAGCCAAATGACAACATAGATGATGAAGCTATTATGCGGATAAAAAATAAAGAAGTAACTGGGGAAATCAAAAAATTGAAATTAAAGAAATCACCAGGATATGACCTCATAACTAGTGAAGTGTTGAAAAAGCGACCTCCAAAAGGAGTAGCCAAACTTGCACAGATATTTAATGCGAGTATAAAATTAAATCATGTCCCTAGCTATTGGAAAGTCGCTGAAGTGGTGATGGTACTAAAACCAGATAAGGACCAACATTCTCCAACTTCATATAGACCAATCTCTCTCCTGCCAACCATAGGAAAACTGTTCGAAAAGCTTATCTGTAAAAGACTTGAAAAAGTAGTTTGTCAAAGAAATCTTATCCCAAGTCATCAGTTTGGATTTCGGAAAAAACACTCAACAATCGAACAAGTACACAGAGTTACGCACGAAATAGAAAAGGCTTTAGAAAACAAAGAAACTTGTTCAGCTGTGTTTCTGGATATATCAAAGGCTTTTGACGGGGTTTGGCACTCTGGCCTGATATATAAGTTAAACACTATCCTGCCACAGCAATATTGTAAACTACTGGAATCGTATATTGGCGAAAGGTACTATCGAGTTAAACTACTTGACGCGTATTCGAAATTATATCCTATAAATCGCGGGGTCCCTCAGGGGAGTATACTAGGCCCATTGCTGTACCTGCTGTACACATATGATTTGCCAGTGAACCCAAGATGTATTGTTGGAACTTTTGCAGATGACACGGTATTAATGGCTACAGGTCCAAACAACAAGGTGTCTACCACTAAGCTTCAAATCGCTCTTCAAGAAATTGAACAGTGGACAAATAAATGGAAGCTGATAGTAAACAGTTCAAAATCTAATCATGTAGACTTTACTAACAAAAGAGAAAATCAATTTTCATTATTTCTAAATAGCGTAAAAATTCCAGTTGCAAATTCTGCGAAATATCTGGGTATGAGTCTAGATGCCAAACTGAGATGGAAGGTACACGTCAAGAAAAAATTAAATGAGCTAAAAATAAGATACAAAAAGTTAACTTGGCTTATTGGAAGGAATTCTAAATTATCTCAGCAAAACAAGCTTATGATCTATAAACAAGTCTTCAAGCCGGTCTGGCTCTATGGTGTCCAAATCTGGGGCTGTGCGAAAAAACATATAATCGATATGATGCAAAGATTTCAAAACAAAGCAATCAGGGATGCAGTTAACGCTCCGTGGTACGTGCGAAATTCTGATCTACATCGTGACCTTGAAATACCTACTGTCAAACAAGAAATTCAGAAGGCTGCTAAAAAACATTATGACAGGCTGAGACAACACTTAAACAGCACCATTCCAGCGCTACTTTGTGATGTCACTCACAGACGCTTATGCCGCTTCAAACCTAATGCCCTTTTGAGGCGTTTCAACCAGCAAGGAGATGACTAGTTCGTATCTATATGCTCACCCTAGATAGACTTAGATAAACTTACTTGTAATAAAAAAACCCCTTGTTAGTCAATATGACTAGTTGTTGTAAATTTAAACTCTTCATTTTGTTTAAATATAAATAAAAAAAAAAAAAAAAATCTCAAAAATCTGATAAATTTCACCTACTTTGTTATTTGTCACCACACAGCCCCTTCTAGAATTTGACGGCTGCATAACGACAAATTCTATCTAAATTGTACATTATTACTACATCATAAACCTCAATGGAAAACGCACCGCTCTACCCACTCGAGTCACCTTTGTTGCTATCTGCTTGTTCCTGCTATCACCTAACACCTTGACATTATCTTGCAAACAACCTTCACCAGCTTCATTCGCAAAATATACCGGTTTCACTCGATCTATGCTGACATTCACCGTACGCTCTTATTGTTAGAGTTTTCTCACCACGACATAAAATTTTATACGGGCCCTCATACGGCTGTTTCAGTGGTGGTCGCACGGCGTCATCACGTAAAAATACGTGTGTACTGCTTTTCAAATCTTTAAACACGAATGGCTTTTGCGTCATATGACGCGATGCTTGCAATGGCTTCAGTTCGTTCATGGTTTTCCTTAACTCCTTAACAAACTCTGCTTGCGATACTTGCTTCAACTCATCAAACATCTCTCCTGGTAAACGTATATTTACCCCATAAATTAATTCAATGCGCTATCCAATCCTTAATTAAAGCCTCGGTCACACATTCTGCCGTAATCTCCGCCAACGGTACCACCACCGGCCACCTTGAAAACCGGTCGATGCATGTCAGGCAATACCGCATACCATTGCAATAGGGTAAAGGTCCCACGATATCAATATGTACATGCTCAAAACGTTGATTAGGAGCGTTGAAATCCTGCAACACAGTCCTGTTGTGCCGCTGGATTTTTGACTTTTGACACGCCATGCACGTTTTCACCATATGACTTATTTCGGTCTTCATTTTAGGCCATCAAAAACGAGAACTTATTAGTCTTATAGTTGCTTTTGTACCTGGATGAGCTAAATTGTGTAACATTTCAAACACTTGCACTCGAAAGGACTTTGTAATGAACGGTCTTGGTTTCTTGCCGGATACATCACAATACACAGAAACATCCTCTGCAATTAACTCCACCAACTTGAGCTCCAAAGATGACGCTGTACAGTTTCTTATCAACTCGTTCAGCTCCTGGTCAATTTTCTGCGCTTCTGCCAATTTAACGTAGTCTAGTGATCGTCTAACTCCAGCCACCACACTTTCGACTCGAGATAAAGTATCTGCGACCGTATTTTTTCTGCCTGCTATATGCTGAATATCTGTTGTCAGTTGCCCAATGAAATCTAAATGGCGTAGCTGGCGTTCAGATGCTTTTTCAGATCTTTGTAAGAAAGTAAATATAATCGGTTTATGATCCTTTAGTACTGTGCAATTCCTACCCTCAATCATGTACCTGAAATACTTGACCGCCATATATATAGCAAGTAGCTCGCGGTCATAAGTACTATATTTCTTTTAAGTCTCTGTCAGCCTTTTGGAATAGAATCCCAGCGGTTGTAACTGCCCATCTATAAGCTGTTGCAGCACTGCTCCTACTGCGACATTGCTAGCGTCCACATTTAGCACCAAAACTCTAGTGATTTAGTTAATTCACTTTCAAATTTAATAGGTAAAAAAAATTTCTTTGTTGTACCTATTAAAAAGGGCATGATTAATGAAACCAAGGTACAAGTTTCAAGTGAAGATCAGTTTCGTAAAGTAATTGCTGAATTAGAGATAAAATCGAAACAATTTTATACGTATCAATTAAAAAGTAGTAAAGGACTAATAGTGGTCATAAAAGGCATAGAGGCAGGAGTTGATATTAAAGAAATTCACGATGCACTT